TTCCAGAAAACACCCCGACCAACCCCTTTTCAGCACTGGCATATATAGTCTGCTCAAATAGGCGGCACAGCCAACACCCAAAGAGCCTTCCTCCTCCAGGCACCTCCCCAGAGATCCCTTCTGCCGCTGCTCTTCCCTGCGTGGCAGCAAAGGAGAAAGATTCCCTTTCGGGAAGAGACCCAGCCCCCAGAACCACCCTGATTCATGAGTTTAAGGGTGCAAGAGGCTCCTAGATCAAATCATCTACTGGAAGAAAGTAGCAAGGAAAGACACCCGGGATTATCCTTGGAGAGCCAGTCCGCAGAGCCATAAGCAACCCCACTTCACTTTCTCTCCACTCCTTTCCCTGCTGCCCAGTCGGGGCTGACATGACCCCCTCAGGCAGTTCCTGACTCCCAAGCGCAGCCCAGGGCACTGTTCCCTCTCCTGTGTGACTTGAGGGACAGCTCTAGACCGCAACGTGGCCTCATGGGCGAGGGACCTGCTCCTTCTGCATTTCAGGGACCTGTCCTCTCTGCTCTCCTGACCACATCTCCTCTGTTTCCCTGCAGGCAGTGCCTATGTGCTGACATGTTACTTCACCAACTGGGCCCAGTATAGGCCTGGTGTGGGACAATATATGCCTGACAACATCGACCCGTGCCTGTGCAATCACCTGCTGTACGCCTTCGCTGGGATGAACAACAACGAGATCGCCACCATCGAATGGAACGACGAGACCCTCTACGCATCCTTCAACGGCTTTTAGAAAAAATACGGAACCCGAGGCAAATCGCTTGTTCTGCCCCTCAGGTCCTGCCCCGTTATTCTGCACCTGTTCTGTGCACAACGGGAGCGTGACCCACGGTTGAGGGATGCTGAGGACAGGAGGCAGAAAGTGACGGGGAGGAAAAGGAGGGCACAGCAGGGCAGGCTGCCAGCACCAGTGTTTGGGAACAGTGACAGTGACTCCATGGGCTCTGGACTTGCTGTCTGGGTTTCACAGCCTGCAAAAGCAGCTACCTGAGGCACTTGAAAATAAAAGAAGAAATGTCGTGCTTAGTGTTTGTCTGTTGTGTGATGTTAAAAACTGGTAGGACCAAACATTCCTTGTAGTGAAACATGTTTCTGTCCATCCCTCTGCAGGAACAAAAATCTGAAGACTCTGCTCTCTATTGGAGGATGGAATTTTGGGACAGCCAAGTAAGTTTAAACCATATCTCCTTCCCATAACAACTCCCTGGAAAAGCAGGGAGAGCAGGGAAGAGGCACCAACCAACCCCTAACTCTGTCCTCCTCTCCACCCCAGGTTCTCCACAATGTCCCGAGACCCGCCAGACCTTCATCAAGTCCGTCATCAAATTCCTGCGCCAGTATGAGTTCGATGGGCTGGACATTGACTGGGAATATCCTGGCTCCAGGGGCAGCCCACCCCAAGACAAGGGTCTCTTTACCGTCCTGATTAAGGTAGGCTGAGAAAACAGATTTTGGTCAAGCCCTTGGCTCTGCACAGCTCTGGCTGCAAAGCCTCAGCCCAGAGAGCCCATGGTGAGTCCCGTTCTTTGGCATCCCTCAGGAAATGGTTGCAGCCTTTGAGCAGGAAGCCAAACAGGTCAACAAGCCCCGTCTCTTGGTCACCGCAGCTGTTGCTGCAGGAATTTCCAATATCCAGTCTGGCTACCAGATTGCTGAGCTCGGAAAGTGAGTAGCAAACCCTCAGGTCATCCTCTGAGCACTTCAGGGAAATGGGCCATTACCCAGCAGAAACCGAGCTCCTTGCATGTGGGGTCCCTACTCCTCTGTGTAAGGCAAGAGTGCCCTGAGAGTGGTGCTTGGCTGGGGGGGAAGGGGACACCTCAGAAAGTGAAGCGTAATGACAGCCGGGTTCCACCACTCAAAGCCATGTGGGATCACCTCTTGGTAACCAGAATACCAGTGCAATTCCCACGCTGCTGTGACCTCTGCTTCCCTCCTCTGGGGCAGAGAGTTGGCTCCAGCACATACAAGGCCAGCTCAGAAAAGCAGAAATTTGTAGAAAGACAAGCTTGAAACAAGTCTTGAAGACTTCAGATTTGCTGAAGGTGGGGACACGACCATGGGGGTGTGGGGGCAAATGGCCAGCACTAAAGGAACAACCAGGTCTGGGTGACTGTGAAGGGCAGTAGGTAAGACGCGAGACAACGTTCTCCACAGGTACCTGGACTACTTCCATGTGATGACTTACGACTTCCACGGCTCCTGGGATGGAGTCACTGGGGAGAACAGCCCTCTGTACAAAGACCCGTCTGGCTCTGGTGAATTGAATATTGTAAGTGTATTTTGTGAGACTTTGTCACAAATCTCGGGTCTGTGATCACATCCGTGATGAGAAGTTTAGAAATTCATCCTCCTGCCTACACATCCCGGCAAAGACTTAAACAGTAACGTTTTCTTACAGGATTATGTTATGAATTATTGGAAGAGCAACGGTGCCCCAGCTGAAAAACTTGTTATTGGATTCGCAACGTATGGAAATACCTTCACACTGCAAAACCCATCTAACCATGGTCTTGGTGCACCAACATCAGGAGCTGGGCCAGCTGGACATTACACACAGGAGGCTGGGGAACTGGCTTACTTCGAGGTATGTGCATGCTAACCACACTGATTTTTCAAATAATTTTAAAGAAAAGCACCCATGAGGTTTCTGAATGGCTGAGACTCAAAATCGTCCACAGAATTGCAGAAGAAAAGTGAATTTAAAAAGTAGAATCTGCACCCAAAAACAAATGTCTTATTCATAAACTGAATATGACTATGCAGTTTAACAGCCAGAGTTCGATAGGCATGAATAGACTTTTCTGAAATATAAAGTACAATATATATATAGTACAATAAGAGGAATTACTAATACGATTTCTCATGTCCAGAAGGCTAGGAATAGGAAGGGGATGTTATACTTCACCTTTTCCCAGTAGTATTTAATGTGTCCAAGTGAGCCTTGGAAGATCATTTCACTAAAACTACTTATTCTCAGGGAATATTAAAATGACATAAACTCAAAGAATAAAGTCAAGATAATGGTGGAACTTGGATTTCTCCACTTTTCTATGATATTCATTAAAATTTCACTCTTGGTCCTTCTCCCTAGATCTGCACTCTCCTTAATTCTGGAGCCACCCAGGTTTGGGATGCCCCCCAGGACGTGCCCTACGCTTACAAAGGCAGCGAATGGGTTGGCTACGACAACATCAAGAGCTTCAGCATCAAGGTAGGGCGGGATGTGTGGCTGCCTAATAATAAGGCTGGAGGCCTTCTGCAGTAGCAGGTCCCGGCACTAACTGGGCTTTCTCTCGTGGCACTGAACAGGTTGACTGGCTGAAGAAGAACAATTTTGGAGGTGCTATGGTTTGGACCATTGATATGGATGACTACACCGGCACTTTCTGCAAGCAGGGCAAATATCCCCTGATCACCACCCTGAAGAATGGTCTTGGACTGACAAACAGTGGTGAGCAGACTGAGTAGCGTGTGCTTGTGGAACGTGACTCCCGAGCTCACCGCTCATGCAGGGATTCAGAGATCCACACAACTTTGTCTCTGGAGCCTTGGCGGATAAAGGCTCTCTGTGGAAGCCACAACCAGAGAAAGAACCCTTCGCTCTGTATTCCCCGGGGATTACAGAGGGAGATTGTACCTTGGACCTTGGTTTAGATGTTTGGAAGTCCTGGTGTGAGCCAGGCCAGGCTTTGGGGGAAACACAATTCACCAGCTGATCCCACTGTCAAAGGGCCCATGGAGGGAGGGGAGGGCTGGGAGATAGCACAAAAATAAGCTCTTTCCTGCTTTTATTTCAGACTGTGTGCCTCCAGCTCATCCCAACCCTCCCGTCACTCCCACTTCCTCTAGTGGAGCTCCACCTGCAACAGCAACTGCAGCTGCAACTACTGCTGCTGGAAGTGGAAGTGGAACTGGAAGCGGGAGTGGAACTGCAAGCGGGAGTGGAACTGGAAGCGGGAGTGGAAGCTCAGGTGGCAACAGTGGGAGCTCTGGTGTTAGTAACTTCTGTGCTGGCAAGTCCAGCGGCATCTATGCTGATCCAACCAACAAGAGCAGCTTCTACAACTGCGTTAATGGCGAAACCTTCCAAGAGAGCTGCCAGGCCGGTCTTGTCTTTGATACCAGCTGCTCCTGCTGCAACTGGGCGTGAAGAGACCAAAGCTATTACAGCAAACAGACCCTTCTGGTCTAATCGCATGGAATAAAATGATTAAATAAAGTGTTCTGCAAAAGCAACAATCCTTTCTGTTTGAACTCATCTTGTTCTTATTATTTTGATGCCCCCTAATTCTCTCACGATACTCACACTTGTGCTCAGGGAAGGGCCTGAATCCTCAAGGGAGACTTAATTCCGGTACGGCATTTTCCTGGTGTTTCGCACTACCGTGCCTTGACAGCCAGGCACAGGGAAAAAGACAGAGAGCAGACAACAGGTCAGATCAGGCTGTGCCACAAGAAATCACAGAGAAGGGTCCTGACAGCACAACCTACAGGCTGCATCCCCAAGACCTCTGCCCTTTGGCTTACAGTGTGAAACAGCAGCTCCTCAGAGTGGGAATCAGAAAGGTTTGAGCCACAGAGACATTATTAATCCTCCTCTGCTCCCTGCACCCTTCAGGTGCCGCCATGGCCACCATTCCCTCGAGCATCCCCTGCTCTGTGTCCATAGCAACCGGAGTACACACACACATCCCCAGCCGGCTGTGTGTGGAGCATGGCAGTGGAGCCGGAGCAGAGAGGTGAGCAGTGCGAGGGGCACCCACCCGCGCGGCTGCGGCCATGGGGGCTTCTCCAAAACCCTTCTCACAGTCGGCCTGCTATGTTACTCTTGGCCAGTGTGGGGAAAACAGAAGCCTTTGCATCAAGAGGGAACCGGCATTCAAAGGGCAGACGCCTCACAAATATCCAGGGTCAGGGGAAATTGCAGTCTGGGAGATGACTGGCCTCTGGCAAAGAGCAGCAGGCAATTAAGGCAAAAAAGCAACAAGTGGACACCTCTTTGTGGGTTTTTCTCACCGGTGGCCTTTCCCTCGCTGCGTCTCACAGATGTGCAGAAGCGGATCTCATTTGGGACGTGTCAAGAGCGGAAAATTTTCCCTTTCCACCACACCTCAGACAGGCTGGGAATCCAGCTGACAGCTATCAGGGGAGACCCTTCGCTTGGGCCAGGCTCTTACCCAACTGAAGAGGTAAGTTGTTCAGCCTTCATGCTCAGACCTTTTCCTTCACAGAAAGCACACAGGACAGAAGCAATAGGACCCTGGCCAGCCAGACACAGAGCCCCCCACAACTGCCCTGCAAACCAATCGTACAAGGTGTCCACATATACCTGGTAAAACAAATTCCCCTCCCCTTCTAAACCCACCAGTCCTCAAAGCTCCAGCTGCCCTAGTACTCTACATTAGTGAGAAATTAAAGGAATTAATAGGAATTCTATCTGCTGCTCATGTACTTCTGCCCTTCCCCGATGCAAATGGTATTTTCAAAAATGTCAGGAAGACGCTTCTGCTTTTGAATCGCAGAGAAGCAGCCTCAGCTACTCCTTGGAAAGCAAACCATTAAGCAGGAAAGGCTATGTGATAGGAGCCAGAACAGCCCAGCGTTTCATGCCAGAGCCACAGGTAAGAAAAGGACATTTTAAAGCAGCAAAGCTGCAGCTTGGCCAGAATTGGTAGGTTGTTTCTAACACAGACTGTCAGTTTTGATCACATTTAGTGGAACTGCCTCCAACTTAATCTACGCAGCAGCTACAGATCTCCTTCCCCATAGCCTAAGGGGAGACGTTGAGCCTGGAGACCATACGATGCTGCCACAGGTGCATTTGTATACGCACATTCCTTTGTGTCCCCTACACACACAGAAATGTACATATTGAGGCAAAATCAGGGAAAATGCTCAGCTCTATGACCTGAACAAACACACATTTTCTGGCCCAGCTTCTCTAGAGGACCAGTGTATGAGAGATATCACGGGACACACTGGGCAAAGGGTAGGGAGTACATCATTGACTTGTTCTGGGGTTTTTTTTACACTATCAGAGTAGCATCGAACAGCAAGCCTGTATTGGCCAGCTGGCTGCTGATCGGAGCACGCAGGAATGGTTTGCAGAACAAAATTTTCCATATAAAAATTTTATCTCCTGCAGACTGTGACTCCCAGCCCGGCAACGTACCAATCATTCTGGAATAAAGAGAGAAAATGCCAGCCTGCCTGTGCTCCATTTTCCATTAAGACACCACGATTTCCAGTTAAGCCTTCAGATAAAGAAATTTTCCCGGGGTAATGTAGCTCATTTTCTTACACTTTTAGCAGAGGGAAATACTATGATGCAAATGGGAGATGGGTAACTGAGTTTCCATTACTCTTTCTAATCTTCAAAAAGCTCCCCTGCTTTAGTCTTCAACACAGCATGATGACTAGAATACCACAACATGCATTTCTCTCATGGATCGAGGGAGATTTCACTGGCAAATTCCAGTATTACAAACATTAGACACCACCTCCAGAAATGAGATATTTTGTGCCTATTTTCTTCAGGCCTGGAACTTATGAAGCAGACAAGCAATTACACAAAAAAATCACTTGGCCGATGAAGTTTGGGTCTCCAGACTGGTCTTTAGTGCCAATGCCAGCAAAGAGGATGCTAAAAACGGAGGTGCAGAAGGTAAGGACAGGGATAAGGGGATGATATTCCCGGCTCAGTGCTTCTGACAAAAACGTGTAATTATTTCAGTGGATTTGCACTATGTTTTGTCATCTCTTCCTCCTTGGCCTGCTGGGGCACAAGGTACAAAAGGATTTTCCATCCGAAAATGTCAGTTTGCAAAAATGCCTACAGCCCTTCAAAAAAAACCCCTTATATTAAACTTTTAAGTTTTTTCTGGAAGTTTCCATCCAGAGTAAACAACCAGAGCACAGACTTCCCTGCGTCTTTTCTGCCAAAAAGAAAACCTTTCTAATTTGAAAAGTGGGTTAAGGTTCTCCACACCATCTCGCACCTTCCGGCACTTTTCTAATCGCTAATTTCTAAACGCACTTTTCTTTCAGCTGACCGTAGACAGAGAATTCCGGAAACACCGGGACCGAGTGGCTTACCTGAGTTTATATTACAGCTGAGGAGCCAGGGCTGCTGCCACGTGTCCCCTTCCCTTCCCTTCCCTTCCCTTCCCTTCCCTTCCAGCTTTTGTCCAGTACCTTTTTTCGTATTTTCTTTTTATTTTTCCCTTCCCTTCCCTTCCCCTTCCCCTTCCCCTTCCCCAGCCTCAGTTCACCTGCACCACCCAGCCTCTCCTAATAAATGAACTTCCAAAAAAAGAAAAGTTGTGCTTACCTGGTGTTGCGACGGGTGCCTGCTGCCTCTGCGGGTGTGTGGGTGCCGCTGGGTGCTGGGCATCCCTCAGACCCTTGGCCTGGGGGCCATTTTCTCAGGGTTGCCATGGAAACACCTCATGGCCCAGCCCTCCCTCCATGGCTGGGGGGCTTCTCCTTCCAAAATCCAGCCATCCCGGCTGCCAGAGAGGAGCCAAATTAGCACAGTTAGAGGGCAGCTCAGCGTTGAGAGCAAACACCCCCATCTTCTCCTCAGCCACCATCTTCTCCTCAGCCGCCATCTGCCTTCCCCGGCCTCCTCACAGCCAGCTCCTCCCCAACACACGCTCCAGGCCCGGCGCAGGCGTTCTCCTGCAGCCTGAGGAGAGCTGAGAAACAAGGGGGCACACATGGCACAGCCTCTGGTACCTTCAGAGAGAGCACAACGGCTTTATGCACTTTTAATAACGTAACACACAGCAAACATGCTGGGGAAGAGGCTCTGCTGGGACAGGTTAGAGCCGACGGCCTGCAAGATGTATATTTGCATTACTACCTTTACCCTACCGACATGAGGAAGATATTCTCAAACAAGGAGCAAGCAACATGCTGCTGATTAAGAATCTAGCCACGAAAATAAATTTAGTCTGAAACAGAAAGGTGCTGGTATGCATCATGAGTTGTTCCTCTAATGTACCACTCAGGCCCCAGGGATTTCTATAAATGTTTACAAAGCTTCACACGCAGACTTAATCTGTCTGATCACAAGCTCGATTCAATCTCAGGGGAAAACTAAGAGCAGGCAACATTAATTCTCAGTCTAACTAGCAGTCACAATGCAGGCGTTCAAATTTTCTGGGTCTCTTGGGCTGTTTCTGTAGCAGATCTCACCTGCAGCCCAATTTCAGCTCTAGAACCCAAACACATATTTCCAGTTTCCCACTTTCGGTCTTCGAGTGCTCTCACATACACACGACAACAGCTGCTCATTTCGGGGACATTGGCCCCTTCCCTCCCAGCCACAAGACACTGCTTTGTAGTTGCAGCTGGGGGAAAGGGACATATCTGCTCATTCGCAGTTGTCCCTTCTGGTGTGACCTCTTGGAGGAGGGGGTATGAATCACTGGAAATTTTACTGTCCTAAGACCTGGATTTTATGGCTGTTTAAGGCTTCGCCTTTGTGTTCATGGCTGATACCACATACTTCACCTCCTGCCTGTCTTGGTTTTCCAATCAGGAGAGAAACGTATGTGTAAGATGTAAAAGAAAGAAAAAAGTACCTATGATGCAGTCCCTCTCAACCACGTGACTAGAGAAACCTTCTACTAAAGCTTTTCAAACTGGTCGTATTTCAAAAGGCACTTTGTCTCAAGTTTCTTATGAACCAAAGTTTTTGTTGGAAAACTCCCAACCTCCTCAGCTACCAAGTGCTGCTGTGGAGAAAGGAAGAGATGCAGAGGGAATGACAAGACTTCCTACTGCTTGCAGACCCCACTGAAAACACACTCAGGCTCTATTCAGGTGCTTTTCCACTCCTGAAACTTTAAGGACTCAGCCAGTTTTGCTTGCAGGAGATAAAATTTTATTATGAACATAAAAATCACTATTTTCATTCGACATTTTTCCCCTACCCAGCGAGGGATTTTGTCATTAGGAAAAATGCTTAATCCAAGTTAAAAAAGATATAAATTTTCACATATACATACATACACAATGTCTCTGTACATCTGTTACTCTGTACAACCAAGGCACCAGCAGAAGTGATGATGGCACGTGCAGGACTTTTTTTTTGCTAGAGATGGCATTTCTAACTACTTGGCAGGAACACCTGCATTCTCCCTGGAACAATTATTCCTTTTTATCTTCCTCCCTCTTGGGTGATAGGGGAAGAGGGAGGCTTAGCTGAACAGAGAACACGGACACACACGAACTCTGATCTCCCCAGTGACTGCAACAGACTTTTTGCATTCAGCTGCTACTCTAGGAAACCGTGACCTGCCTAGTAGTCTGTGGCTGCCTCTCCCAGCACTGCATTTTCATCCAGAAGAGATACTTGGGAGACAGGACCAAACTACAGGAGTCTTTTCTCCAAGAAATTTAATCCATATTTTGCCTAAGTTAAGGCTGAATGAAAATTAAAGCAAAGCTCTCCAGAACCAGCTAACAATTACACCCATCACCAGTCATTTTCACTGCTGAAATGAAGCCTTCTATTTTGCGAAATAAAGGCGGGGAAAAGAGCAACTTCATTGATAAAAGTCCATATTTGAGAATGGACAAAATAAAAAGTGCGATCAATAGCACGGCCTTGCAGACTGCAATCAATACAGCTTTATTCCATACTCCAAGTTTTTCAGCATCTTTCAAAACAACTGGTAAAGGCATGAACTCCCAAAGGAGTTGTGCTGTGTTGAAACGAACAATAGAACTGAAAAATAGCCTGAAGCAGCTGTTAAATCTTGCCATTCATACTGCTGGAAAACGATCTCAAAGTAGAAAAGGGTAAACACCACACTTAGCACTTTTAAGTTAGAAGTGCAGCTGCAGTCAGAAAAGTGAGAATAAAATGCCACCTTAGCTCTGTATTTACACTTTCTTACGAACACATCAGACGCCTTTAGTTTATAAAAGAAGAGTCTGTTTGCTTCTACCTGCCAAGAATCCAAAGAAAGAAACCTCTCTGGGATTTTTCTGTCTCTATTAATACACGCTCCTTAGACTACAAGGCCAGGCAGGACTGATTGCAGAAGTTTCTTTTCCAGCCTGCCAGACAACCACAAACGAATTCCGCCTTTGTATTCTGCAGAGCCTGCTGGGAAGCACCGAGCAGCAGGAACCCTCGTGTCCCCTCTCTCTTCGGAGAGTAAATCCTTCTGACAGTGAGAACAAACCAAAGCAAACAAGACAATGCCCATCTGGAACCCAGTGGCCTTCCACACTTTTAAGGCAATTGCCCATTGATCGTTCGAGCCAGCAGGAGAGCAGAGGGGAAAGAGGGAGCGTTGCAAACCAGGATGAGAGCGTAGTTCACCAGGCAGAGAGATCATTCTTCCGCTTCTGCCACTCAGGCGAATTGCCTCTTCTGCCTCGCTCCACACCTTTCGCCCACAGCAGTGGAGGTGAACCCCCCAAGGTTTCTCTTCCTCTGCGCAGCCAGCTGGCTACACCTCACTTCTTTCTGCGGATCTTGGGCTTTTTCACCGGCCGGAGGTAGGGATTGTCTATCATGTTTTCTTCCCCATTCCGACTGCCTGACAGGGAGGAATTCTGCTGTAACACTGAAGCATTCTCCTTTTCAGGTCCTGAATCATCCTGCCACATTAAAAAGAAACCACAAACAAAACAAAGAAACCCAACAACATAAGCATAAACAACAGAAGTTAGACTAAACAAAGCTTAGAAATTCAAACCATGTAACCTACAGGCAAAACAGATAATCAACAGCCAAGACAAAACAGCAGCACACAAGAAGCTGCACTAACTGACTTCCGATTTTTAACACACAGAGTTCCCCTTAGGGAGCAGGGTGGGATTCTAGGACAATCCTCTCTCCCCTAACACTAAAATGAAGGTTGTACTGAAAGCTCATGACCCAACCTCATTTTACACTGCACCCTGCAGAAAGTTAAAGAACCATGACGATGTTTAGTCATTTATACCTGGTAAAACTCAACCCACTGCCATTTCCACCCACTCTGCCCAGCTGCAAGGAAGAGAGGCAAAGAACTAGGTTTCAGAAGTTTAAGAAAGTCAGGCCCAAGGGACCTTCATCGCAGAGGCTGCACGTACCGTGCTCATGTGCAGGGGGAGGTTCTCGGTGTCTGTCTGGTCGTCTTGCTCAGATGAATCGGTTTCTTCCATCTGCTGCATTTCCAGCTCAGAGGGGAGAAGAGCTGTCAGGTAGGGTACAGTGAAAGGCCTGGCAGCAATCACTAGCGTCAGGGAAAAGGACACAGTCAGCAAGCTGGGAGAAGACTCCTCAACTCAGAGACATGAAGCACAAAGCCAACTGGTTACTTAGAGAACAAACACTTTCACTGCTTGTGGTTACAAACACACACACTCTTCTCCTGCGGCGCTCAGGGATCAGGAATGAAATATGCTGTTGCTAAAAGATGGCAGTCTATAATTTCCTATCTTCTGAGGCCCCTTTAGGTTTCCAGCCAAGGACACAGCATTATACTAACACAAAAAATCCTTCCTGACCTCCATGAGAGTTCAATTATCTCACAGGCTGAAGCATTACTTAGTCCTCCTTAAGATAACACAGACACCTGTGCCATCAGCAAGCACTGGGAAGGCCTCCACTGCTTATCACAAAAATGTAAGAGAAAAGAAATTAACTGTTCAAAAGTTACAGAGGGGCAAAGACAGGACTGGGATAAGCTTTGCATTTAGCACCTTTCAGCCAGGAGCTTCTCCATCAGCAGAGGAAAATGAGCCTTTGGTGAGGGTGGAAGCCTAACACTTCACTTTGATTCTGATTTTCACCCCCTTTTTAAATACAAAATTCCTCACTTCCCAGCCTTCCAGTGCCCTAGAAGGGCAAACATAATGTGATCATTCAGTGCTCACCACCTGTGGTAGTAAGAACTTCAGACAGTGCCTACGCTCAGTTACACAGCTGTGATTTAAAGCACAAAGTGTCCTACACAACTCACACGGGAACGTGCTAACATCATCCTTGAAGAGACTCTGTGTTTCTCCCGTCTTGGCCATAAAACGCGTGAGAGCTCTTTCTACATCGCGACGTTGAGATGCTGCCTTTTCCCGCAGGACTTGGTAATCAGAAACCGGCTCCCGGTATGTCTGTGGAGCAGGGAGGGGAAAAAAAAAAACCCCAAACCACCGTTAGTGGATGCAATGCAGAGAGCTGAAGCTCAAAACACCACCAGGACGCAGATGCTACAGGCAAGCATTGACCTTCAACACACATAGATTTTCAGGGAGCTACAGATGTCACTCAGCCAGAAATCAATAGTGAGGGCAACTCGCGAAAAGCAAGGAATAGATTAAGCCAGCAGAAGCAACGTTTTGGACAGATAGTACCAGCACTGCAGTAAAAATACGCATACACCACTTGTGAAGTCACTGCCTTCAAAGAGAGCCCAAATGGCATAAAAATCTTTTTTCACTCACTGGTGTCTTGATGTAAGTGTGAGGATCCGGGAACTCAGGGAAATGGCCAGGAATGTGGGAAGGGTGTGGCTTGTTCTGTCCAGCTGTCAGGGCTTTGGGAGTCACAGGCTGATTTGTCACAGGAGCTACAGTTAAAAAACATACGCACACACAAATCAGCCAGCTTCATTCTGCCAGGAATGAGGCACAAAGTGCTAGCTTACACTGAGCTGTGTCTCCAGGTCCTATGAAAGGGACAGAGTACAACTCACAGGCAGTAATTTCAGATTGTATTTGGCATCCCACAAGGGAGTGAGGATTATTTGGCCTCTCTCTCCTGCACAAGGAGAACAAAACCATCTTGAGGATGGGCAATGAGGACACCGAAGCAAAGGCAACTGATTCAGCAGAGGGTGCCTTCCTTCACCTATCACATAGTCACTACAGCAGACCTTAGAACAAACTGTACTTTCAGGAGAGCTGGACTGCACCATCCACCTCTCCGGATGCCAGCAGAGAGAAATGCCAAATTACTTCCAATTTTCTGCATAAGAAGAGAAAGGATTTCCCACATACGGGCAGTGATGACCATCCTCTGGGAGCGCTTGGCATACGCAGGAAGCGTTTCAACATTGAACCCTGAAACACAAAAGACGAAATAGAAATCACACCGAGAGTTTATCCTGTCAAAACCCCATTCTCTCAGGCTTCTTCAGAACTCTTCCAAGGGCTGCAAATTATATGAGAAAGAAAATCACACACTCTGTATATATTCATACTATATATTCATCCAGAGCAGCGATATCTGAGCGCCAGTGTGAAACCCAGAACACTGAGCACCACACAACATCAGCAACATGGGGGACAGTTTTTCCCACCAGTGCAGCATAACCAAATCTTCTGCAACGTGAGCAGCTGGAATTAGTGGGACCAGTCAACTACTCACCCATTTCCACTAGAGTAACCACTATATCAGAGAGGGTAGGTTGCGTTCTTGCTGTATGTTCACAGTAGGATTTTGCGCTCCTTCCAATTTCAGAAATATCTGAGGGGTGAAAAGAACACCACCACACATTTGATTCAGGCAGTGACCACGCATTTGTATCACTCCATCTCTAGCTTCAGAGATGTGCATTTTCAGCAAACTTAGCAAGGAATGAAAAATAACTTCTGGTATCCAGTGTCTTACAGCCATCGTATTCAAAATTAAAGTATGCGCAAAATACGGAGACACCAAAGATCAAGTCTGCGACTGAGATGTGGCTCCATCCACTAGCCTAGCATTCTACTTTGACTAATGTTCTTAAGGTAAGATAATAAAAATAGAAGGGGAAAAGCCAACAAAAATATGAAAGAATGAAAGCCAAGAGGTGGCGTCCCTGGCGACAGGGAGGGTGGATTAAAATGATCTCTAAGGTCCCTTCCAGTCTAGGCCATTCTATGATTCTACGAATTTGAAAACAGAGAAACAAAAAACCTCAGAGGATGAGCATGACTTTGCTGGATGCTCACAATGCCGGATACTCACAGCTCTGTAACATCTCTGTTAGCGTCTCCACCGCAGCCTTTTCAGCGCTCTCAAAGCCGGCTTCGGTGAGCAAGGAGCTGACCACCACTTGCAGAGTCCTCCTCCGAGCCAGGTAGTAGTTATCTGCAGGCGTGGTGGCATGCTTGCTGCCCGACCTCTGCTGACAGAGACCCCAAACCAAGAGCTCAGAGAAATGCAGCCGCCTCCAGAGCTCAGGACTGGATGCAGGACTCCAAATGTGGCCTCACCAGTGCAGAGCAGAGGGGGAGGATGAGCTCCCTCACTGACCACGCTTTTCTTAATGCAGCCCAGGATGCCATCACCTTTCTTGGCTGCAGGGGCACCGTGTTGGCTCATGGTCAACCTGTTGTCCACCAGGACTTCCAAGTCCTTCTCTCCAGAGCTGTTCCCCAGCACGTCTGCCCCCAACCTGTCCCGATACTTGGGTTTGTTCTTACCCAGATGCACACATACACATCTATACACATACACATCTCTATACACACACATATATATCTTTATATATATATACACATACATAGACCTGGTCCTGCGGGCACTACCCAAGGCAGAAAGTCTTTTGGTGTGCGGCCCCTTTAACAAAACAGCCCCACGCGCAGCC